CCCTACACTGCAATTTTCCTAGAAAAAGCCTTCTTTCTCCTTCTGCTTTCAGGAACTCTTCATTTTTGACTCTGCAGGCAAAGATCTATTTTCTGAGATGCTGGAGAAACTGGTAAGTATTATGTAACAGCCCTCTCCTTCCAAAGAAGTGCTTTTGCTTTGAAGAGCTGAACTCCCCAGTCTGGCAGATGTAGCAGACTTTGTCTTTAGCATAAATGGGCACAGCTACCTCAGTTGCCAATTTTTCCTGCTCTGTCTCTCTGAAACTTGTAAAAATATTACAAGATATTTTTTTCTGGAGGAAGGAATGCGGATGTTCCTTCAATTTCTTAAACAAAGAAATAAGGATATTTGGCGGAGAGAAACTATGTGCTGTTGGTTGAACATACTTTTATTTCACAGAAAGACATCCATTTTGCTACTACTACAGCAATGGGCTTTTTGCCATTATAGGGATTGCTTTGATCCAGCAGTACTCTTTCATGTCTGTGGGCATAATATTGCCCTTGATTTTTTGTTTGTTTGTTTGTTCTTATCCTCACCTATACAGCACTCCATTGTATTATCTCATTTCAAAAGGTAGAATCAATTAATTGATGCAAGATGAGACTTCACAAAGTGGCTAAGTCAATGTAATGATTCATTGCACTACAAGGGGCAATTCCACTGTTGCCCGTACACCAGGTCCAGTTTGCAAAGGACCTCTTGGGAAGCTGCTTCAGCTTCTCAAACTGGCAAAAAATCATTCTACTTTTTTCCCTGGATTAGTTTTGTGCTGACTCAGCATGCAGAATCTGCTTCCCAGGGATCAGGAATGAATGCGGGAGCTGCTACAAATAAAGGAGTGCAACTGTGCAGACAGGAATGGGGGAAGAGAGCAAGACCAACGCTCTCAGCGGCAGCTACCCATTTAATCAGCTCAACAGAAATATGAAACTGCAGCCTGGGCTTCGGGTTCTTGTATGTTAGGCTTTTTATTTTTGTCTTAGCATCTGTGTCCGCTGTGTAGATGCGGGCTGGCTGTTGACCACATCAGGTTCATTAGAGCTGACAACGCTCCTTTCTTGCTGTGCAGTGGGAGCAGCCCAACGTCCTGTGCCTTGTGTACGATGTCACTAACGAGCAGTCTTTCAACAACTGCGCCAAGTGGCTGGAGAAGCTGAGGGCTCAGGCAGTTGGGATGCATCTTCCAGGTAAGGAAGGCACGGGAATCTTTTTATCTGCTCCCCTCTTGTATGGCAGCAGCTGCTTCCCTTGAGATGTGGCATAGACTATGTATTTTAAGCTAAGCCCAGGCATTGCTTCCTCCAGCTTATCTGCTTTTATCGCAAAGCAGACCAGGCACAAGTATGTTTCAGATGATTCCTTTGTGGAATCTTTTCTAGGCAGTTTTGTAATTGTAGCCTGTTCTCCCAGCCCCAAACCTTTTCAGCTCCTTCCACAAATATTCTGGCATTTACTGCTAACAAATCAGCATTTCTGGGCTGGGATTTTTTTTTTTTTCTTCCTATAGGTGTCTTAGTGGGGAATAAAACAGACCTAGTTGGTCGTCGAGTTGTGGAGCAGAAACAAGCACAGGAGTGGGCTGAGAAACATGGCCTGGAATACTGTGAGATGTCAGTGGTGAGTACCTGCTCCTCCCACTGTCTGTGGAAGTAGGTGTCTGTAAAGTTACCTCTCTTTTAGGTGAGGAGCGTAACTGGGGGCTCTATTTCGCTTCTAATTCACTCTCAGTTAAAATCTGTCTTTTATGAAGTAGCTTGAGTAGTTAGTCAAATGCTTATTCCATCTGCTTTTCATAGCTTTCTTGTTTCTTTGCAGAAGGAGATGAAAAACTTTGAGGCCCCTTTCCACATCCTGGCGAAGTCATTCCATCAACTGTACAGAGAGAAGGTGGAATCGTTCCACTCAGTAGTTTGAGGAATGTGACTAGAGTGACTTATTTGGCTCTTGAGCTTCTTCCAGTGCCCAGGCTGGAATACAGAGAGAAGATAAAAGATGAGATTTTTGTATTTTTCATGGTCATATTCTAGTATTTCAAAATAAAAGACATTTTTCTAGAGTTGCTACCTCAGCATTCCTTTCATGTCCCCTAGCTTGCTTCTCTGCTCACTGAAAATCTGCTTGGCTGGAGGAGGTGGAAAGAAAAAGGGGGAGGGCAGAATCAAAATTGCTAGCTCTTTGCTTTGATACTGCCATGTCTCTTGTCTGAACAGACTTCCTGCTGCTGCAAGGAAGGATTTGGAGGTTTTCAGAAGGAGAGAGGAAGCTGACAGGGTATTTTTCAACTTAAGCAACTCAGTCCCTGTACGTATGTTGCAGGGAAGGAGCGATCTGGCCCTGCCATTTGAAAAGCATTTTCAGTAGGAGACTTCTGCTCCAAAATTGACGCGTAGAAACTGAGATGTGTGGGGACCGATCTGGGCTGAAGTGTGCTCCTGAGTTTGGGGCCAGTTTTAATGGTGTTATCTGTGTCAGTTTTAAGACTGTAGTGCTGGTGACTAGTAACTGTATCTGACTTCTAGAAGCGGTTCCCTTCTCCTGCGTGGCTCACTTCCTCTGCCTGGTAGGAGCAGTCTGCCTTGCCTCGGTGTCACTGTCACTTGGTAACGCAGTGCCCTCTGCTGGTCCCAGCTCACGTGTTTTCTCAAGAAACTGCCCTACCTTGAAGCAATCAGGACTGCATCCAGTCACGTCCGAATGGCCTTATCTGCAAAAGGAGGTCATAGCAAGAAAACCTCTTTTATTCTAGAGACAGGTGCAACACTTTAAAGCGAATTATCTTTTCGTGGATTTCTTTTGTTTTTGTTTGTTTGTTTTTGTTAAGTGAACTTGGAAATGCCTTATTCTTACTAGGTTCAGTTCACAGGTCCTCATTAGAATGCTAGAATCAATTGTTTTTGTTGTTTAACTGTCCCTGCCTATCCTTTTGACATCACTAGCAGAAAAAGGATTTAGGAAGGAAAAAAAAAACACCTAAGTTTTTCTGATTCAGGGACAGGAGCATGGCTGCCTGAAAGTTTGATTTAAGACATGGTAAAAGCTCAGGAATAACTTCTTTTGTGTGGAGAACTGATGTTGCTTGTGTACGAGTGTATGTGCTAATACAGCACGTGAGAGCAACCATGGTACTGTGTTGTAGCTGGGCCTGAGGAGTTCAAAACTGTAACCTTTCTCTTCTCCCAAGATTATGTTAGCCTCCCTTGGGCAAGCGAAGATGAAATTTGTGGAGAGTGAGCACTGAATGGTTTTTCAGGCAGGCTTTTCAGGAATCTGTATTTCAAGACTTATATGTATATTTTATAACCATTTTTATATTCATTGCTAGGGCAAGTACTTTGAACATAAGAAATGTTGCTTGCAGATGTTGTAGCAGAGTTTATGAAGAGCTTCAAGAATCTGGAAAAGCAGATGAGCTTATTTCACTGGCAGCAGAGTGCTGATGAGCAGTGTGTGGGAATTAGCTAAGGAACATGACACATCAACAAAAGGGGTTAAATACACACTAGGCCCACAAGAAAAGGAATGGGGCCTTTTGCAGGAAGCCTTCTGAATAAATATCAGAATTTATAGAGAAAGATCTTAACTTGCTCCAAAGAAGAGAGGACTCCTCCATTGGCTTTCAGGAGCTAAAAGACCTGCCTTTTTTGACAAGGATTAGGATTACTGCATGCATGATGCTTTTTGTGTTTGTTTTTTGGTTTATTTTTGTTTGTTTTTTAAATCTTGAATAGGTTGTGGGGAAATCCATTTATTTACGTGGACTGAGTGCAAACTTGCCTGCAGATACTAGCTATCTCTGATTAGTAAGAATAAGAGTTATTTTAGGTGCTGTGCTGCTCTAGTTAAGGAACTATTCTGCTCAAGTCTTGTTTTGATTTGGCAGCTCTTTTCCCCCAAATTCCACTCATGATATGATTGCAACATGAGGATGATTTTTTCCTTTCATATTGAAAATAGCATGTCAGGTGTGTCTGCCATTGCAACATGGTATATGGGGGAATATAAGTGCCTGGGGAATGGGTGATAAAGTGAATCCTGTGTGATCTTTGTGATCTCCCTGCACCAGAAAGACTTCCCCTAGCTTTGAATAAACGGTCTAAACTCACCAGTAAGATGAAGGTAGGTGAACGTTGTTTATTAAATGAATGCAAAAACTATAGAATTTCATTAAGGGAATGCTTGCAGTGGTGAGTTATGATTTATAGGGAAGCTGTTTGTGAGAGGTTAGTGAAGAAAAATGCGTCCCATGCAGGGAAAGATATATTGCCTGGGAGAGTAAATGTATGATCTAATTAGCTAGCAGTAGGGATTTACCCACTGCCCCTTTCCTTCTTTCCCCAGGCCATTACAAGAATTAAAAAAGAGGTTTTGTTTAAAGCATGCTGGAAAACTTTTTTTTCTTCCTATGACTGTTCCAAGCACTAATGTAGACATAATTTAATGACTTTCAAAAGTGTATGCTTGACCATAGCCCAGAGAAGCCTGAGAGGGGATCTTACCAACATGTACAAATACTTGAGGAGAAAATGTAAAGACGATGGGGCCAAACTCTTTTCACTGGTGGCCAGTGACAGGACAGGGGGTAATGGGTACAAGTTTAAACACAGGCAGTTCCATCTCCATGTGAAGAAGAACTTCTGTTCTGGGAGGGTGTCAGAGCCCTGGAACAGGCTGCCCAGAGAGGTTGTGGAGTCTCCTCCTCTGGAGATCTTCAAAACCCGCTTGGATGCAGTCCTGTGCCACGTGCTCTGGGTGTCCCTGCTAGAGCAGGGGGGTAGGACTAGATGATCTCTAGAGGCCCCTTCCAACCTCAACCGTTCTGTGATTCTATGAGCATAACCATCTTGCTCCTTCCCAATGCATTTTAAAGGCATAGTGTATTCTCCCTCCTGGCTAATGTGTTGCATAATACTAATATGGTGCAGGTGATGCTTGTTGCTGTTTTCCTAGTCTATGTGTAGCCTTCATTGCAGATGCTGATGGTGAAGAGTGGGAGGGGGACTGTGGGAGACAGGTATGGACAGGCTGTGGAAAGCAGTTTTGTGTCTGGGTGAAGGACCTTTGGTGAGCTGAACAAACAGGATGAGTGAAAGTCTGAAGCATCATTTAGTTCCATTTACTATATCCACTAATTGTTGTTTCATATCTAAGGTGAGGATGTTTCATATCTAAGATGAGGATGCTTGTTTGCTCCTTATAGCCATTGAGTCTCTCTGACTTACAGAAAACAGTGTGAGAAAAGCAGAAAGCTGAGCAGGAAGCTTGTTGTCTTTTTATAGATTTGTTTTTTCTCTTTGTCCAGCTGTGTTGTGCCGTGTGCCCAGAGTGGATGTTTACAACCTCGAAGAGCCCCAGCTCAACCGAACAACAGAAATTTTACAAGGAGTGAGAGGAACCGATTGGGCCTTTAACTGTCTTTCAGAAAAGCATAGTCCTTCTGTCTCTCTTTTTTTTTCCCCCCCTCCTGCCTGCTTGCATGATTGGCAAGAACAAGCTTTCCTCCTCAGAGCCTCTCGTTCTTATCTTTCCTTTGGTCCACACGATTCTGCTGCACAGAATCCCTGTTCTCTGCACTGCTTTATTTAGCTTGATATATCAGAAGATATGCTTTCTTTTTGTTTTGATTTTACTTTGTTTTTTAGGTCCTTCTAATTTTCCGCTAACAACACCTAATGCTACAGGACATTTCTTCTTAGGGAGATTAATAAAAGAAAACAAAATAGAATTTTTAGTCAAATTGTTTTGGAAGAACGAACTTGAAAAAGTTGACTGACCTTCTGAAATTTCTATTGGAAATTAATTTTTGTAAAGCTATAATATTAAAGATGCTTTAATACTTTTTGTTCTGTCTTGTCAAATCTGGTAGATGCATACTACAATGGAATGAAATGCAGGATATAAAATTCCAGAATCAGCAGATTTGGAGTTAATAGAGTAAGATCAGCTTTGAAACTCTAGATAAGATCTGTTCAATCTTAACAATGGAGTGGTCACTGCTGTTCATAATAAGGCATTAAATATACTGAAATGAGACTGTCAGAACAGTTTCTTCCAGAGATTTGTTCATTTTGGAGACTTAAAGCTTAAGAAAGGACATATTTTGGAAAACCGATCTGGTCCAGGGTTATTTCTGATATAACTTCCCTGACTTAAAGGGCTGGATTTAGTCTTTTATGCCAGTTGACTCCCTTGGGTAAGCTTCATTTCTTTACCCACTATACATCTTAGATCCATCTAACCTGATAGCAAAAGACACATGATGTTGTTGAAAATGAAATACTGCCTGGGGGCAGAAGGATAAACTCTGTGGCTCTTGAGGTCCTCCCAGCAATATTTTCTATTAGATTAAATGGGGAAGGAAGTAGCATGGAAAGCACAAAACAGGCTAAATCTTAAGCTAGCAATTAAACTGGGTTCTGGGCTACACTAGAAAATGTACAATCTATCCCAATTAAAAACAGTATCTCAAGAGAAACCAGGTGCCTGACGCAGGTGCTGACAGCAGGGAAAAGAGTGCTGTTCTTTAGGCAGCAACTGCTTTCTACTGCTGCTTGCACAGATCATGGGGGTCCTGCTGGAGACTCAGCTCTGCTTTTAATAAATACTCTACCCATGGTGTCCAGGTGGTAACTGCAAGTGTCCAGCCTGCCTGTGTGATGTCAGATACCTGCTAGAAGCAGGAAGACATCCCTATTCTTCACAGCATCTGTGATAGGAACCCACTCTTCCCATGCATTTTCAGTCCCTTTCTTCCTATCTCATAATCACTTCTCAATGGGGAATGGCCATCTCTGCTTGTTCTTAGCAAGTGATTTTTCTGTCTTGCAGATGGTGCTCCGGGGACTAAGGGATTTCCAGGACCTTCAACAGCAGAGGTAGAGTCGGAACAGAGGCTCTTCAAGGGTCATGTTTCCCCTCTCCACTCTCTCTCTTAGCTTAAGGGCACATCATCTCTCTCCTTCTCACATCCTATTTCCTCCTCCTGCTGTCATCTTGCCTCAAGAACGATATCTTCTGTGCCAGTTGCCCTTGGCTCTGTTGACCCGGAACAACAACATTTTGGGGAGGGAGAAAGAAGAAGGCTACACAATCTCCAGTCCTTTCAGTGTTCCTATCTGTATGATTCCCAGTCAAAGTCACCTGGAGAAGAGCATATTGCTCATTCTCCAGTATAATTTCCTGGTAGGGGACCCCCAACTTAGTCCTGTTTGTTTAATTTTGACTCTTCAGGGCTTGCTGCAATGTAACTTTTGCAGACACTGGTTCTTCTCATTCCTGGACAATTTTTTCTCTCCCTGGAGGGGCTTTCTCTCCTTCTTTTGTTACAGTTTCACATATCTCCTCCCCTAGAGCTGTTTGTCAAGAGAAGCCTGAAACTGCTCTCAGTCCTGGTCTGTGAAATCAAATTCCGATCTAGCAATGGTTAAAAGCAAAATGTGACAGACCCCACATGTCAAGTTGGGGTCAAAGATGGGGTCAGTTTGATGAGTTTCCCTCCAGCTAAGCATTCATCAGCTGGAGATATGTGGAGTCTGTAATCTTTCTGCATAAAAACTGGAAAAATCTACTATGTGAGGATTTTGTATTAGGGACTGCAAGCCAAACAGGTATGGGGCAGGATTGATCAGCAGTTGTGTCTCACTGAAAGAGTGGGGTCTATTTCCCTGCGTGAAATCCCCAAAGGAGTTGCTGAGGCAAAGTGGGAAGGTGTGGAATATGGGTGGAATTACATCCGAAGAAAAAAAAAAAAAGTGTGGAAAGGAAAGTAATATCTTCTTGAGCAATTGAGGAAAAGTGAGAAAACAGCCTAGTGCTGGATGACACTATAGGTTGAAGAATGATTGACAAAAATAAATAACTGTTTAGAGATTTTCAAGAACAATATCTCTGTGTCAAAGTCATTTGGGGCAAGTCAGAGCTATAATGACTAAGGTCAAAAGTAGCCATCAGTTTATGTTCAAGTCGTAGGACCTGCATCAGAACAAGGCATGGTGATTTCAAAGTCTGCATGAGAGGATTGATGCTATGATTTGATATGAGAATCCAGAGTGATAAACCTAGGAGTAGCATGGGGAGACGAGAACAGCAAGCTATGGTGCTGCAAGAAGCAGTAGCTTGTGAGATCAGAAAAAAATATACAGTAGGTGGGCAAGAGAGGACTAAGAGGGCAGGAGAAAGTGAAGAGATGTTGGAGATACATATAGAATAAAATTCTTCACTGGGATATTGGAGGGAAATAGATACCTACAATTATTACCCACAAACCTTTGTATCAGTTAAAACACAAATTAATTCCAGTCCTTTCTGTATTTTCTTTTTCTAGAGATTGGGGTGAGCTATTTGCTTAAACATTTCTGTGGGGGAAAAAGAGCACACACATTCCTGCATAACTGTGCTGCAGTATCTCAAATGTATTATGTTCATCCATTCAAGAAATGGAAAGAGAACCTGCATCTCTCCTGACTGAGCAGAAGTGACCATTACAACCTCAGCACTGACCTATCAAGAACAGTCATAAAGCAGAATACCTTCACGAAATATCAATATGTAGCCTCAGTATAAAGCAGGTAGAAATCACCCTGTTCATGAATAAAATTACCTTAATAAATAATTCCATCGGCTCTTCATGGGACAGAACTATTTGCTGCACTGTTTTCCCTTCTTTGGTTTTGCTAATCTATTTTGACTCCTGTGAATTATCACTCTCTTTTCAATAGATTTGTGCGGTCATTGTGCACTATTTCTGGGACTGTTATGTTGGATGGCTTCAGTCCGTGGACTGTGAAGCTGGAAGTATTGGAATTCAGAGTACAAT